GGAGTTTAAACATGGGCAGCAGCTGGGGCCAGGCTGCCTGGGCCTGAGTGATGATTTCACCCCTTAACAGTTGTGGGAGTTTGAGTGAGTTGCTTCTGTGTGCCTCAGTTTGCCCATGTTAAAATGGGAATCATACTTCTATCCACCCTGCATAAAACACTAAGTGTAGACGTGGCTGCTGGGGTGGAGGGACTAAGGGACACGCTGATGCTAACTGCTAAATGATCATCAATCATCCTTGTCACGATTANGTGAGTTGCTTCTGTGTGCCTCAGTTTGCCCATGTTAAAATGGGAATCATACTTCTATCCACCCTGCATAAAACACTAAGTGTAGACGTGGCTGCTGGGGAAGTGGGGTGGAGGGACTAAGGGACACGCTGATGCTAACTGCTAAATGATCATCAATCATCCTTGTCACGATTATTAATCATTCAGTTGAGATCATACCAGCTCTGACTCAGCGCTGATATGCAGGGTGAAGGGTGGTGGTTGTGACTTCCGTTTTAGAGTCAAACGGCTCCCTAGATGTGGCACTCATTAATCTGTGGCCTAAGGCAAGTTCCTTGATCTCTCTGAGCCTCAGTTTTCTCACTTGTAAAATGGGGATGACTCTGCTGAGTTCGAGGCTCTTGCCCCACAGGATGTCCTCCTGGCCGAAAACACACCTTGCCTTCGGTGAAACCTCTGAGGAAGCGCAGAGCAGCAACAGAGCTCACTGAGGCTCTAAGTCAGTAGGAGGCACCAAGGGGCTGCTCAGCTCCTCCCCCTCTGCACCTCAGAGCTTCAGGAGCCCAGATGGTGCTGAGCATAGAGGACTTCCTGGAGGAGGTGTCACTGAAACAATTTTTTAGCCCCAGGGCTGCTCTGTCTCCTCATCTTACCCCCAAACCTGGCACTGCCCAGCTCATTGCCAAGAGCAGGGCTAGGAAGGGAGGGGATGTCTGCCCTGCAGTGGGCACCGGGCTCATCCAGCTTCTGATTAGTGCCCAGGTTCGGGGGGCTGGTCAGGCAATCCTGGCTACTCTGCCCTGTGTAGATTCTCCACCAGGCCAAAGTGGATATGTCAGCCCTTTCTCGAGGCAGGGAGAGGACACAGCTCTGCTGACCTAGGGCAGGGAGAAGATAAAACCTTCACTTGGTCATTCAGCACCTACTGAGCACTCTTTGCTGTGTGGGGCACTGTCCTGGGCACTAAGGGTACAGCATGAGGACACAAAGTCCCTGCTTTCAGGGAACTAATAGTGGGAGAGACAGACATGGTAAGAGAATTGAAAAATCAGTGGGATGGAAACAAAGCAGTGAGATGTTTGGGGGTGTGAGGAGACCTGAGGAGAAGTAGTCTGATTGGGGTTGGCCCTAGAGGAGGACAGTCCCCCAGTCCAGGAATCCAAGACCTGGGTCCGCGTCCTGGCTCTGCTACTGCCACCTTGGGTGACCCTGGGCAAGTGAATGTACCTCCCTGGGCCTCACTCCTCTGGCTGGCATCTCCTGAGAGCAAGGACAGAGTATTTCCCCACGCCCCCAGGGGCCGTTAGTAAATATCTGTTGGTAACTAGGGATGCTTCCTGCTCAGATCTGGGAGTATTTCCTGCAGTTTTGATTGTGAGTCAGCCTCACCCAGGGGAGCAAGTGCAGAAGAAGGGGCATGAGATTCCTCTCCAGGAGGCCTGGTGCAGTGCCAGGGAGGTGGTGTGGCCCTGGCAGGACTTGGGCTTAGAGTTGGAAAGACTTAGGTTCCAACATAGCTCTGCCACTATAAATCTGTGTGACCCTGGGCAGGTCACTGAATTTCTCCAATTTTAGCTTGACAAGCCCAGATGGGACTAATGCGTATGTTTGCCAAGAGGTTAAGATGAAACAATACAAAGGGTCTGATAACAGGCAGCTGCTATCATTNTCAAGAGGTTAAGATGAAATAATACAAAGGGTCTGATAACAGGCAGCTGCTATTATTGCTGCATTATCTGTATCTGAGGCTAGGCCTGTGGGAGCTCAGAGACTCAGACCTGGGTTCAAATCCTGACTCCATCACTGACTGACTCTGTGTTCTTAGAGACTTCTTTGAGCCTCAGTTTCCCCATCTGTAAAATGGGAGGGAAGTCCCAACATTCCTGGTTGTAAGGATGAAATAAGATCAGGCATGTAGATGGGTTAGCCCCTGGTAGATAAGTCAGAAGCTATTGCTGTTCCTTTTCCCTGAATTGGCCCAGCAGAGCAAGGTCCCAATCAAAGTCTCTGAGCTTGTACCCCACTGTCATCTGGGGTGGGCTGACACTTCTCCATGAGTAGTCACAGTTTTCCAATAAGTTCAATAGGCCTGCCTGAGTTTGGGCTGCTTGTGGAGGTGGCTCCTGCCTCAGTTTCTCCCCTGAACTGTGTCTAGGCAGCTTCCCGGAACCCCAAGGAGGGTGGGACCTGTGGGGCATGGTGGGCAGGTGGGCTCTGCCTTCTTTCTCCCCAGGAGCACATTGCCTACTGGCCGTCTCTGAGACCTTCCTGCCATGCACCGCTGCGCCGGTAGCTTGTGCTTACTGAGCACCTACTGTGTCCAATGCTGCAGCTCTGGTTACTGCTCATCTCCCACCTGGGCTCCTGCGCCAGCTCTGTCTTCTATTCTGCCTCCCTCCAACCTGCTCGCCACACAGCAGCAGAAAAAGCTTTTAAAAGATCACTCCCCTGTTTAAAACTCTTCAGTGGATCCTTTAAGTGTTATTTGTGGGACCTCCCTCCTCCCTCCTACTTCCTCTGGGTTCCTCTCGCCACGAACCTCATTCTCTGCACTTGAACCAATTCCCTGACTCGTGCTGATTCAGACACTTAGCATATGCAGTTCCCTCTTTCTGTAACAGTTCTTTGTACTTCTTTCTCCCCCCTCCCCCCACTAACTCCCCTGTTTG